TCTATTGTCTTCACTTTAGATATAGTTCTTTTAAACCATGTTTATTTGAGACTAGTAATACACCAATTCTGTTCATTTTTAATGCTAGGCAGTACAGTGTCGGATTTGAAGTTGTAACAGTTTCTATGGTGGGAGATCCTGGTCCCCATGGCTTTCAGCGGAAATCTAGTGGTGATTATAGGTAATGTTGGCATTTTGATTGTATCCAATTTATACTTTACCTTTTGTGGCAGCATCTTCTAAAAACCGTATTCTCATTTTCCCTGAATATAGGTGTGGGTTTTGCTATCTAGAATTAGAAAATATACCTGCTGGGATCTTCAATATCATTCCCAGTACTTTTTTGCCTAAACAAGAAGGACCATTTTTCTTGGACTTTAATAGTATAACCCCCATCAAGACAACACAACTTCAGTGATGGAGAATTCTCAGCAATTACTGGATTTTATAACCAAACATCAACTCTTCAAATGAGGACACAGATTTTCAGGACAATAGACACAACAATCAGAACAGAATTAAATCTCTAAAAACTGATTACAGTGGAATCTGGTGCTTGTCAGGGTGTTTGGTAAGAATTGTATATAATCAGAATTACCTAAGTCGCCTAGAAGTACTGTTTATATGGTTTTGTGTATATATAGAATTGGCTTGTATTTAGGGGCCACTTTCTATTAAAAAGTGCATATGATTAAAGATTAGACTCAGTCATCACTGTGAGATTCCTTTGCTAAGAGGACAAAGGAACTGAGACCACATGAGGGAAATGAGGGACATAGACTCATTGAGTGGAATGGCGGGCTAGTTTAATATCTTGAAATATTTACACAATGTTTCTCTTTTTTACAAAGCATGTTTTAAGTTAAACCTGCTCGTTTTGACGCTAGTGTACGTCTTGGGCAGCTAATTACCAAATGAATCATGACACTGTAACTAGTTTTAATTTTGCATTATTTATGGCTTTAAATGTTTGTTGCCCAGATGTTATGAAAGAATAAAGTTTTAAGTACTAATTAACTTAGCATGAAGATGCTCTACTTAAGAATGAAAGTTGTTGAGGTTAGATGATCCCATTGAATCATGTAGAAGAACTGAGGTATATTCACTGTTGCAGTTTGTATTTATCAGGTTGATGAAAGTAGTAATTTGAGACACTGAAGACATTACAATTTAGTTAGAATAGTCTTTTTTAAATTGCTCTGTAGTTCAGTGCTCTTGTGGTAACAGCACCTTGAAGAAAACAGTTGAGAATTTAATATATGGTGATTGGGTTATACAGCCTTCAGAAAAAGTGAATTGCCAAGATACTAGTGTCATGTAAATTCCCAGTTTATATAAAAACCCCTCAGAACAGAACAATGCTCAAGATTTTAAAGGTCTGAAAATAGAGTGGGATTTTTCATTGTCTCTACTTTATAATTATCAGAACTACTTATTTTGTATTTCTACTGCCTTTAATTGAAATAAAATGTTTATACTTATGGAAACCACATAGTTTAACCTGGAGAAATTGATTTATTAAAAGATTTCATCTAGTGTGTTCCATCAAAAAGAGAAAAGAGTACAGATTATTTTCATAAAAAGACAGTCTCTCAGTATTTGTCTCTCAGAGTTTATGGGGGGCTGGTTCCAGGACCTTTCCCATACCAAAATCCACAGATGTTCAAGTCTTTGATATATATTATTTGTATATAACTTACGCACATCCTCCCACATTCAGTCATGCATATGCATTGCTTAATGATAGGGCTGCTTTCTAAGAAATACATTGTTAGGCAGTTTCATTGTGTGAACATCATAGTGCACTTACACAAATCCTAGATGGTGTTGCCTACTACACACCTAGGCTGTATCATGTAGCCATTATAATCTTATGGGACCGGTGTTGTATATGTGGCACATCGTTGACCGAAATGTTAATGCAATGCATGACTGTACCTTAAATCATCTCTAGATTACTTATAATACCTAATGTAATGTAAATGCTATGTAAATAGTTTCTTTAGGGAATAATGACAATAAAAAGTCTGTACATGATCTGTACAGATTAAAATTCTTTTCCCAAATAGTTTCAGTCCAGTTTGTTGAATCCATGATGCAGAACCCACGGATAAGGAGAAACTGTACATGCTTCAACAAAAATATCTGTCTTCTTACATTCAGCATGGGGGCAGATTACTACACTAAGGAGATTTCACTTTGGTAAACATCTAGTACTTTCATTTTTAAACTATTAATTTTTCATGGCCTTTTAAAGAAAAATACAAAGCATAAGAGCCTGTATTCATTATAAACACGTATGATTTGAACCTTTTGTGTTAAAGATCTTGTGCAGGATGCAAACTGAAATAAGACCTAATCCTGGCCCTCAAAAATCTGTTGGAGACCTATATATGAACAATATAGTGTTGAATTCTGTAATAGAGCTCCACACAGTGCTACAGGTGTATAAGGGAAGGATTAATTTTGGCTGGGCCAATATAGAAAAACTTATTTGAGGAATTGATCCTTTAACTTGGACCTTGAAGGTGAAACTTCAGAAGGCGGGCTGTAAAAAGTAGCTAGCAGTTACTGGGTGTTCACTATGTATTCAACATGTGTATTTTTCTTTTTAGTCTTCCCAACAGCTGAGTGGAGTATAGATACTATTATTTCCTTTCTACAACCCAAGTTAAACAAGTTTGAGATTAACAATCTCGCCCCAGATTCACAGCTGTCTGTCCAGACCCTGATTCAGCTGCTGCGGTCTGCTCCATCTCGGGGGCAGCAGGCTGTAATTAGAGCATACAGACAGTCCTCTAGTCGGGGGAGGGACACGATCAGAGCTGTGCTTTAGGAAGATAACTGCATTGAATGAGTTGGAGATAGGGAGGTATTGGAGGGAAAACAACCCAAGCACGTCAGGTTCCAAATCACAACAGTGGGACAGATTTGAAAAGGGAAAAACTAGTCAGGAGTTGCTAAAGGGTGATGATAGAGGATGACTCACCTTTCTAATTTCAGCACGTGGAGAATGCTCAGAGATTCAGAGGAGCTAAGGTGTTTTACGTTAGAGTAAAATGGTCCAGAAAATCCAGATTTAGAATCAGCATGTGGTAAAGGATATCACCCAAAAAATCAAGTCAAATGTGAACTAAAGATGGCTAAGAACTGACTTTGAGGAAATAACTAAATTTTTAGAGGAGGTAACCATGAAGACTGAACAAGAGATACAATAAAACGGGGAGGTAGCGGGAGGAAGAAGCCAGGTGAACAGGAATGCCCAGATGAGGATAATTAGATGTCAGATGCAGCAGAGATGAAGAAGGCTGCAGTGATGGGAGTGGTGGCAGGCTCCCTAACCTAGAAATCTGAAGAGGAAGAACGGATAGGAGCCAATAGTGGAAGGGGAGCCAGGGTCAAAAAGTGATTTGCATCCCTTTCTGGTGTATGAGATGAGCAAGTGGTAGGCTGGTGGGAAAGGGAATTCAGTCATGAAATGAGATTATAAAGTCCTAATGCCCAAATAAGGGATGCAGCGCCATACCTTGATTATCTAGGCTTTGTCTTTTTTAAAGACAAGGGAAAGCCCCAACATTAGAAAATTCCATCCCACTTTCTCTCCCAAGAAGTACTTAGAGATAAGTTTCTAATCATTAACGAAGTGAAATGTTCTTTTGTGGCCTTCATTTATGAAACACAAATGTAAGGTACAACACTCTGGGTAACAAACTACAGGACTGAAAATATTTGAGGGGGGAAAAAACAAAAATACAGCATGAAAACCTTATATGGCATTTACATTGTGTTAGGTATCATAAGTAATCTAGAGATAATTTAAAGCATACAGGAGCATGTGCATAGGTTATATACACATACTATGCCACTTTACATAAGGGACTTGAGCATGACAGATTTAGATATCTGCTGGAGTCCTGGAACAAATCCCCCCGGGATACAAGGACAACTGTATTTGAGCCAGAAACTCACCACACATTAGATTCTCAACATTAGACTGTACAACTTGACTCTGAGAAATACTGTTATAGGAACTTTAGACCATCCCTGTTTTGACTGATTCTCCAGATGGTTTTTTTTCAAGGAGAAAATGAGCAATACCTCAATTGCAGGGAACAGTTTTTGTTCACAGTAATTCAAGAAAGTCTCCAAGTCTTCACTAGAGGTAGAAGTCATGATTCAAGGTGATATTATATAATTGAAAAAACCTGAAGGCCACTAGTAGAATTTGAGTATACCGTTTGGTATTCTAGGTGTTTGTTTTGTTTGTGGCTGGCCAGTACAGGGATTGAACCCTGGACCTTGGTGTTATCAGCACTACACTCAACCGAGATGGTGGCCAGCTCATGGTATTCTAATTTTTAAACATAGTAGAAGGGAACTTTACGAACTTTTCTAGATGAAATATTTACTAGGTAAAACATCTATACTTAATATTGCAGTCTTATTTTTTCTGAAACTATTTTGATCCTCGTGATTATTAGCCAACCATGCACTTTTTCCCACAGCATGCTTTAATATAAAATTTACAGAAGTCTATCTAGCACTGTAACATTCACAGAGAAAGGATGCAAGATAACCATCCGATTCTCAACTATAATTCACATTAGAATCACCTGGGGAGCTTTTAAAAGTCCAATGTCCAAGTGTACTCCAAATCAAGTAAATCAGTCTCTGGGATGAGACCAGACAGCAAGAGTTAAGCTGCCTCGGAGATGGCAGTGTGCAGCTGAGGTTGAGAACCACACCTCCCACGTGACCACCTTATCTTTATTTCCCTGACACTGTGTCTCCTCATCACTCTGCTTCAGTAGCAGTAGAAGAAGAATTCTAATTCAAACCTTGGTAATCGGGGCTTAAACTATGAGGAGTCAGGACTTTAACTGAAAATGGGAACAGATGACCACTGCATTCCACGCTCTTCCTTATGGCTGGAAGGTTGCCTAGGACAAAAAATCTAGGCAACATTGGGATTTCTTACTGAAGTCACAGAACGTGAGAAAGTTTTCTTAAGCCATTTTTATTACACTCAAGGTATTAAGACAAGTACAAAATAACCTTGTAATTAGGATACTGTATCAGTCAATAAAAAAGGAGAAATCACTACAGTATGAAGAGATTTACAAATGACTAAAATATACAAGCTGTGACAGAATTAACAATTAGAAATGGGGGACATTGTTTTTCTCCTAGAAATGCTAACTTTTCTTAAAACAGGACAAATAAAATAGTGCTAAATATAGGCATAACCATGAAAACATTAAAGAAAAGCAGTCTTAACACTATTAGCATAACAGACTCCATTGCATCTATTTAACAGCCTTTGCCAACACATGCCTACTCCCTTTCCTAGCTTTAAGGAACAATTTCCTCTAAGGAATACTAGCACAGCATAACCCTTAAATAATTGCATTTATTTTTAAAGTTACAACCTACAGAGAAATGAACACCTTGTCAATCTAGTAACCGTGGCAACCAGTCTTCACATGCACTTCTTAGAATCAGTCCCCTTGGCTGGCAGGATAAGGTTTATGCTATAGGACCTTCTCTTGCACAGACATGAATCCCCTTCTATGATATGTCCCTGCTACCCTCATCCCGCCTCCCCCATCCCCACATTGGCATTCACCTTTCCCACCCCAAAAAGTGCAGTTCATGGTAACCTTTCTTGGAAATGGTTTTAATGGGTGTCCCAGCATACACGCTTTTTAAAAAGCCCCCTCTGATCACCAGAGGTAATGAAAATGAATTGTGTTCTTGGCTTTTTTGTTTGTTTCTTTGTTTAAGCCTTTACTGTGTCAAAAAGGTGTGCTCTCAATACTTGAGTTTTTGTTTTGGGGTGGGGGGTTCATTTAGATACCCTGGAATATAATGAAGAGAACATCTCCATTTTCTCAAACAAATTAAGGATGAGAGAAGGGAAAGCAAGCTGTTGCCCCCAGTTTGGCTTCACTTCCCAGCCCTTTTCCTGGCTCGGATTCTTTAATAGGAACATATTATTGCTTCCACAATGCAGTTACAGGCAATGTTCCACAAAGACTGTGAACCTGGTCACAGTCCACCTGTAACATCAACTCTGTTCTGGAAAACAAGCCAGTCCAAGAGCTCTTACCCAGAAGAAAAATCTTCAGCCCTCAAGATCACTGAAACTTCATTAGTGCAGTTTAGAGTAAACGCTTAAGATTTGGCATATGTTAAATGACTATTGGCACAAAGTTCTCCAGTTTCATGTGTAAATACTGATATGCACGCAAGCCACGGCCCTGGATGGATCAGCCAATCTGCATCATTTTTATGTCAGCAATAATCCCGTCTCTTCCCTTTGAGCACTGGAGGGAGAGCTGCTTCATCCGGTTCTCCAAGGTCTGGCCCTCAGGGGAGGTGCTGCTTTGGCTCTTACCGCTGCCACCACTGCCACTGCTGTTGCTGAAACCCCGGTTGTTGTTGGCTTTGTCACTTGTTTTATTCTCTGCCCCTTCTGCCCTGTCTCCTATAGAGATACAAAGATTATTGGGTAAGTACTGACAATTCTAAGAGTCACTTGGGCCCAAGCCAGTCAGCCAACTCAGCCCTGAAGAACTCCCAGTGTAGCCACTGTGCATTTCAGAGAGGGCTCTTTAGCACACAGTCACTTACTGCTGTTATCCCTCATGGTGTTTTATATATTCTTCATCTTTAGAGATGAAATTTGTCATACTGATTTTATAGCTGGGAAACAGAAACCTTTCTAGCATGTGCTTACCAGGGGGACTGTTCTGATGAGAGACATAAGACCTAAGCTCTACTTTATAGATCCTGAGTGGAGCCAGAAGCCCCCAGAACAGCACTTGGAAACACAACAGCACATTCACAGAGACCCAGTGATGCAGCTATGGGGGCTCCAAGACCTGGCAAAGTCACAGAACAGCACAAAGATCTGGCTGCAAAGGCACTGAGGCATCTGGGACAGGGTGAGAGGACTGTGACTCACCTCGTTCTACCTCACATTCAGGGGAGGAGGCCCCACTGCATTCACTTCGAGGGCCCAACACTGGGAACATCACCCCAAACTCTGACAGGGATACAGGGCTGGGCAGATCCAGGCTGCCGGGCCTCGCGACCACAGGGAACTGGTCGGGCATCTCAGACGGGCTCATTGGTCCTGAACTAAAGCTGGACACAGACTGGGTTTCCAAGTCATCTTCAGACACAAAGTTGCTGCAGTTGTCATCTTCAAAGGCTTCTGAGGCCACTAGGATGAGAGAAAACACAAGTCACACACCTTCAAAAGTGCTCACTGCTGGCAGGCAACAGCATGGGGACTACTGAATCTCTTCCACTGTGGGCGCCTAAGAAAGGAATGTGACCTTCCTGAGCCTGGATGACCAGCCTCTAAAACAGCTTGAAGGGAAGCAGCTGGATCCCATGGGTGTTCAGTGTCCTTACAATAAATGTATAACCCCTGCCCTATAAATCATTGTAACAGACACTACCTAAAGATGGAAGATGAATTCAGCCATAGATCTGGACCTCTTCTCCACCTCAGTCCCCCAAATAGATTCACACGTGCACAGTGCTGGCCCTTTGAAATGTATCCCAAACGAAGCCAGTCAGACTGACAGGGCTTCCTTCTTCCATGGCAGCAGAAGCAAGAGCTGGTCGAAGAAACAGCCCTGCATGGAGTATCTGTTGGGACCTTTGTTATCTTCCAGGTAACTTCTGATCTCACCGAAGACACGTTCGAAGCTCACATAGATCACTATTCACCACCAAAGAACAAAATTTCCTTATAATGCTCTGTAACTTGTGCCTTACTTATTTTGTAGACCAGAATAACCAAAGCCCAGAGACATGTTATTCCCATGTTTTCAAAGCCTCTTCAGCCTATAGCTATTTTCAGCCTGCACATAATCCCACTTATTAGATCTAATTCCCCTTTCTTCCTCCATCTTTAAAAACAGCCTTGTAGCAATCCATACAGGATTGTTATAAATGATAAGTACTATAATGTTAGGCACAGAAAATAGGTTCAGACCTGTTTTTTTTGTTTTGTTTTTGGCAGCCGGCTGGTACAGGGATCTGAACCCCAGACCTGTATATAAATCCTAACTCCATTAATTGCTGTTTGACCCTGGCCAAGTACTTAACCTCTCTGAGCTTCATGATCATCTCCATACTGGGTTTATGAGATGATATAAGAGGGTACTTTAAAAAGTTCATGGAAAACAGGATTGAAAGATAATACAAATCTTTCGATGAACTTTTTGAAGTACCTTCATATATTAAAGTCACACGTGTAGTCTTTGCTCAAATTATAGTTTCCCTTTCCTTTACCTTGGATCTGGCACTTAAACATTTGTTGACAGAATTAAAGAACTCCTGTGGAAGCAGCCTAGGAAAGATCTAACAAGCATTACTGCACAGGAAAGGGAAAGGAAGGAAGTGTGCAAAGATAGTGCTGGAGGGGTTTCTGGTTGATGGAACAGAAGCCAAATCAAACCTCTGTTATCAGTTTCCCGGGGGGGGCCCTGGATAAAAAGGGTCTCCATGGTCAGGCACAGAACCACCGTTTACTGAGTGCTCGCTGAGTTCCACGTGTGACTCCACATAATTGTAACCACCACTCTACACGGTGGATAGCAGGCGCTATCCTACTCCCCATTTTGCAGGTGAAGAAACTGATGTATGCACTAGTAATGACGTGAAGGCCAGGGTTTGAATCAAATCTGATTCCAAAGTCCCTATTCTTAGACAACTCTTCTTTCTTGCAAGACTCCTCAGAGACTTGAATGTTCTAATAGGTACTTTGACTCTCAGTGAAGGGTGAAAGTGTAACATTTTCCAAATTTATTTGACCGAAGAATCCTTACTTTGAGGAACACTGTTCCACAAAACATGAGAAACCACCGGAAATAGCCCCCAGGCCTGCGCAACTCTCTGAGACCTTTCAGTGATGGCCAGAAGGTCGGGACCTGAGACAAGACAGCCCTGGAAGCAGATCCCATAAGCTGTGATCTCCCCACTTGCCCAACTCACCAGAAATGGCGTCTGGCTCAGGTTTGCCCCCTGACAGGTTCTCCACAGACAGGCCGCTGCCCTCAGCCCCGACGCCACAGCCCCGAGGCCCCATGGCACTGGAGCGCCGCCGCTCATGGATCTCGTCTGAGATCATCTCTAGGTTCTTCAGAGCCGTCTTGTACTCGCCTTTCGCCAGGGTCAGTTTGGCTTGCAGGTCATCCACGGTCTTCTTCAGTTGCTGCTCAGGAGAACAGGAGATACAGTAAGTGAAGGCTGCCCCTGCTGGCCTTTAGGTGCTTTTTGAATGACAGGTTCAAGTACATTTCCTGTCCATCATTCCAATTCAGAATTTCCCAAGATAAAGACTGAGGACCTGATTACTCTTATCATAGCTACCCATTCACCAAACATAAAAATCAGCCACCACCACCACCCCCAGCTCCCATACAGGCAATAAGCTATAATATCCAGAAACTCTAACTGGTGGAATAATCCCCATCAGAGAAGCAACAGTGGGTGTCAAGCACAGTCTCACAGCCCTCTGGTCCCCAGTACAGTGGTTCTCAAACTTGAGCTTGCATCAGAATCCCTTGGAGCACTTGTTAAAACTCAGATTGCTGGACTCCACGCCCAGTGTTTCTGACTCGGTAGGTCTAGGGTGGGGCCTGGAAATCTGCATGTCTGTCAAGTCTCCAGGTATGCTGATGCTGCTATTCCCAGGAGCACACTGTGTGAACCACTGGCCTAATGCAACCCAGAAAGGGACTGAGTGGCAGAGCTTGAGAGCTTCAGAGACCACTGAAGACCCAACCAAGCCATCTGGAGGTCTGAAAACTAAGTAAAGAATGTTTCTTCACTCTCCCCTTATAACAAACGGGCCATCTGAAAGCCTGTTACTGCAGAAAAGTGAGGCATTATAGAAAAATCCCAACAGCAACCAAGCCCAAGGCTGCACATACCTCAAGCTGCACGTAGTACTTTGCCTTGAGCTCAAAATAAGGCCTGCGGAAGACAGGAAGGAAAACCATAAGAGTAGTATGATACAGTGACCACAGTAAACTCCACAAGATGTATCAGAGGCATTAGCTACAGATGGCCAGGTTATCCCTCCCAGATTTAGCAAACTCTGACAAGGCTGTGAGATGAAGGCCACTCTCCCAGCTCTAGAGCCTGATTGACACAGGCACCAGAAAGAGCTGCTGGGCTCACCTGGTGCTGTGCCGACAGGAAGCCCAGCTCAAGATACTGGGAACCCACACAGGTGTGCATATATTCTGGGGACCCTGCACCCTGGTTCCCTTTCCTCTCTGGGGAGGCTGTTCAAGGACACAGGGTATGCCCAGCAGCAAAGTTGCCCTGGATCTGCTCTCCAAGGATGAAGAGCAGATGAGGCTGGACAAGGGGCTCCTTAAACCACCTCCTTTGCTGAGGTAAGCTGGGGAAGACGGCAGCCCCACTGCTCCCCACTAAGCACAGCAGGGCCAACATTATGAGGGCTGTCATGTTGGTTCCCCTGGACCTTGTTACAGTTCTGGAGGTATTAGATGGTCAGCAGACTCACCCAGGTCACAAGCAAGAGAAAGGACAAGAAATGCCAACGTTCTACCAGTCCCCTGGGTTCTGGGTCAGTGAGAAGAGCCTTGCTGTACTTAGGAACTTTGGTATCTGAGCATTAGGAGTACACCAGCACTTTATTCTTGAACCGTTCACTCCCCATGAAGCTCCTGCATCCTGTATCCAAAGGATTTAGCAGATGACAAGGACACTGAGGACGCTCTTAGTGGGTATGGAAAATCGAACTTGGGAACAGAGTGTGGTGTACAGGCTCTCTCATGTGACCAAAACGAGCAGACATCAGTCTGCATAGGGTGTGGAAAAAGCATGAATGGACGTATGGGCGTGAGAGGGCACCGGGAAGATGTCCAGGCAAAAGAGACAAGAGCACCCATGTGCAGCCACAGCTGGAGAGGGGGAAGGGAGTGTGGCCAGCGCGAGAGCGAGAGCTGGAGAGGCGAGGCAGGCCCGGGGGAGGCCTGGAAGCCACTCCACAAATGCACAGATTTCTGTTTTATCCTGAAGGTAGGCAGGAGCCACACAAGACTTCGATCTGTCCCTATACTCTTCCAGGAGTCTGCAAATGTTGGCAGAGCGTGACCACAGGAATTGTATTTTCTTAACAGGTTAATTAATGAATATGTAAATGTATGCAGTGGGGGTTTGGGGACTTTCGAGAAAAGACCCATCATGTTCACACTAACAAAGGAGGCTGCTCCTCAGTGTGAATGACGCCTGTGCTCGCCTAGGACAGGCACAGGTCCCAGAGCAACCGTCTTCTCTCTCCCCCAAAATACCATATACACATACATCTACTGCTTGGCTTTCAACAGGTCAGCCCAACACACCCCAAAAGACAAACCAAAACAAAAACACGCCAGTCAGTCGAGTGCAGTAGGAAAGGGTCAGCTGCTATTCTTGGGCACATGTGTGTACACATGTATGTCGGAAGACAGCGGGGAGAAATCAAAGACAAGCCCAGGGGAAGGTGCTGGGGGTAGTACAGGGCAGAGGGGACCAAGCTCGTCTTTGCAGATCCTCTTCCTCACTTCCAGCTGCCCAACCCCTCCCACGGGGCTGGCGTCCACTGCCCCAGGACAGGCAGTCAGCAGCCCTGCGCACACACTGTGCTCCGGGTCTGTCTTTGACTGTTGGGTCTAGGCCATCCCAAGTCCAAATCCTTTCACTTGTGGGCCCAGCAACTGCAAATGAAGCAGGGGGACTGTCCCCAAGAGAGGGCAAAGTTTGACCACCTTGATCATTATTTTGTAAAAATATATAGGAGTGATAAGGAGAAGAGCTTGGGAAAAAACTCCATGTAAACCAGCCTTGAAGCATTTCATCAGCTCTTGATCCACAGAGAACATGTATCATGAACACTACTCTTCCCCATTATCCTGACAGATAAACTGCGGGACAGGGCCTTGTCCACACTGTCAGCCACAGAGCCAAGGGTACAACCTGAGTTTCCCAAATCCCAGCCAATGGACCATTTAACGGTTTGCTTTAGAAATTCCTTCTTCTGTGTCTCCCACATCAGTCATATCTGGTGTGGCCTACGCCTCAGCATCCTCTGCTTCGGGGGGTCACATAGATTGTTAGGGGGCAAGGGAGGCAGGGGGCTCTGGTGAAGCCCTAGGATTTATGTCAAAGTCTTGCTCAGCCTGGTCCTTGACACATGAAAGGTTGAGATGATGCGGAAGGGGACAACCACATGGCCCCGGGGAAGGCCGTGCCCAGACTTACTTGGACTTGCTGATGGCTCTCTTGAGTTTCTTCTCCAGCTGCCTCATGCGGCCCATGGCGGCATTGTACCTAGCCGCCGTCTCCTTATGCACCAGCTCACTCCTTGTCTTGGTCTGCTCTGCCTCCATGACCTTCAAACAACAGAAGGGGTCAGCCCAGTCAAGTCCAGAACAGCTCCTGGTTGGGGTACTACTTAAGTCATTTTTTAAAAAGTATTCTTTGAGGACATTAATGGGCAGACTAAGAATAAGCTAACTTCCCAATAAAATAGGATCATGTTTTTCTATTGATCTATTTTGAAAAAGCCTTGTCAGGTAATAGTAAACAGTCTAATTGGCTGTGGCAATGACTGGGAAAGAAGATGGAAAAACAAGAGCAGAGAAAATTTTGAAATATTCTCTGATTCAACCAATGGCCACTTTCTTCTGCTCAGGCCCCCTGGCTCTACATAACCACCTTGAGCTCCTGCTGCTCCCTGCTTGGGGCAGGGCCTGATGGACAGACAAATAGCCAAAAACCACCAGAGGGAACTTCAGAGACATCAAGGAACAGGAAAGACACCAAAACTGAGAACGAGCAAAACCAGGCATGACAGCAGTCAAGCCAACAAGGCAGTCATGATCTTGGCTCTTTGGTCCTTGCCCAAATATCCTGAATTAGTTGGCTGGACACAAAAGAACTGAGGATCCAGAAAGGTCAAATTTAACATTTAAACCACTAAATTAAAGCCCAGACATTTATATCAGATTTTGAGGTTCACAAAAAATTGTGACCAGGAGACGAGAGTTCTGGTGGGAATATTTTGTTAAGCATGTTGATAAAAATGAGTTTAAAAACCAACAATCCTCAATGGCCAAAAACAAGGCAGCTCAAAGGCAAATTTCCAGAGACACGGATAATGTTAATTCTTTCCTTGCTTACCTAAAGAAAAGCATCAGAACGAGGCCTGCCTTGAGGAAAGATGACGGAAATAAAGTTTAGGCCACCTCAGCAGCCTGCCATTTCTCTCCCTGCCTTCTACTTACGACTCACACAGTTTTATAAAATGACCTGCAGAGACAGGAGCAAGGTTAGGCTAAAGGGTCATTCTCTATTTTACCTGAGGAGTGTCAGAGCGGAGCCCAGTGGGGCCAGGGTCATTGGTCCACCCTCTCAGACCCCAGCAGAAGAATTCTAAAAAGATACCACCATGCCTTTAACTTGAGGTTGAAAAAGGAGCTCACAGCAGCAGGTTGCCAGTATTCCACCATCTCCTCCAGCCAACAGCCACAGTCAACACTGTGATAGTTTATTTATTCACTTATATATAATAAAAAGTTTTAAAGGTATCAGGACAAATTACAAAAGACTTTGATAAGGTCATGAAAAACTACTGGGTGGGGCCGGCCCCGTGGCTCACTCAGGAGAGTGCAGTGCTGGTAGTGCCAAGGCCGCGGGTTCGGATCCTATATAGGGATGGCCGGTGCGCTCACTGGCTGAGGACGGTGCAGACGACACCAAGCCGAGGGTTGCGATCCCCTTACCGGTCAAAAAAAAGAAAACTACCGGGTGTCTTGTCTAGGGCGTCCTTCGAGGATATCTCTGTCATTGTCTTAGAGCTATTTTACAACCCTTTAAGTTGTAGAAAACTGACAGTAATACAAACGATTCCTACCCATAAAAATGAAGATGAATTATGTCCCAGTGGAGATGCAATTGGTTATTGATTGCCCTAAAAATAATGACCAATTTTGCATCTGTTTGTAAAGTCATTTCAGCATTCCTGATTTTCTATGTGTTTCTTGAATTCTCTTGAGAATTAAGATAAGTAACATCTTCCTTATTAGTTCCATCTTTAATGAATTAAATAAAATCTTTGACATGAGAATATTTTATATTTGTATCACAATTATGCTTTTACCTTTTTAAAAATATATATCTTTAACAAAGGCTTCAATGCTTGAGATAATTTTTAAAACAATAAAAACAAAGAGAAGGAAAATAGGAAGGAACCAAGCTAAGCTGGCATGAGGTGACATACTTGCTAAGACCAAAGGGCTAGGAGAATCCCTTCCCTTTGCTTCTAACACCAAATACTTCACAAGACAACAAAATGTACTAAAAATATCTTATGCTTGACACTCAAGGAAACAGCAGTAATTCTTCAGTCTAGTCTTAAATCTTAAGCTTTAAGGATTTACTGGTGCAACCTTTATGAAAACTCAAAACTCCAAGCTTATCAGATGGACAAAGACAACATATCGTGGGTGATTTGTTCCTTTACAAAAGGATCCAATGTAGAGTTCACCTTCAAAGACCTGTCCAGATGCATTTTCAATAGACTGAGTTATACAAGCTACAATTCGAGGCTCCTATACAGAAAGAGCCCTCTGCAAGGAGCAGGAGTCCCAGCAGCTACACACGGGCCCCCATTCTATCTTGGCCCCTAGGCTGCAGCAGAGGCAAAGGCATTCTAAAATTAAACACTGGGAAAGTGCCGAGCACGTGGCAATAGTGCCAGCGAAGACTGTGGCGGTGGGAGCACAGCACGGCCCTGCTCCACCCCATCAGCCCACGTCTACTGTATCGTGCCCCAGTCTCCCCTGCCCGCAGCACACACCCTCCAGCTCTAGGAGGAGACCCCACATACACACTCAGCTTCTTGCCTTGAGGAACAGGGCCACCAAGCATGTCGCCTTGGTCCCATCTCCTAGGTAACCAGGGAGCTCTGCTATCTGCAGCCTGGAATCAGGCAGGAGCTGTGTGCAGTGATGATGGGCAGGTGCGGTGGGGTGAGGAGCAGGAGGGTGGCACTGCAGAGGTTCAAGCAGCAGGGAACAGAGCCAGAGCCACAGAAGAAAGCGATAATGGACTCCTCAAGACAGCCTCAGGCTGGCCTGAGCAACCAGACGGGCATCTGCGCCTCAGACCTAAGGCCCCCACACCACCACCCCCAGCTGCCCTGTTTGCTGCTGCCCTCCGTGAAGCCCATGTTAACCAGACATTTTGTCTGTACTCCAAGAACCCTGCCCCCATGTCTGCATGGTGTCAATTGCATTGACCACCATCAGATGCAATTCAGAGCTACCCACACTGATTAAGCACCTAGTGTGTGCAAGGTACTGTGCAGGACACAACGGAGACCAAACCCAGGGCTGTCAGCCCCGCAGCAATGACTGTCAGTGAAGGCAGTATGAGAATGGGACAGCGGCATGGCTACAGCAGCTCAGAGGGGCTGTGACAGCAGAGGGGACACTTGAGAGGGATCTCAGGTATGCAGCATCTGGGGTAATGGGTAAGAAGGAGAAGCACTTTTGCTGAAGGGGGTCTCAGCACAGGCTGTGGGTCTTCCCTGCATCCAGCCACAGGTCCACATGCCCCATTTGCTATCCCCATGGGATGAACACACGGGACACAGAAAGATAGGGACCAGTGTTCAGCTTTTCACCTCCTTTCCCTGTGCTGAAAGGCTCCAGATGAACTTAGCCAAAGGAGCTAATTGTCCAAAATGAACAGGGTCTTGGCCTCTCTCCAGATGGTTTAGAACTTTCTGCCCAGAGTGGACCCTATCCTGCGGAGGACCCACAGGCTGTCTGTTAACTTTGAGTATGTCTGCCTCACCCACAGGACTAAGAAGTCAGGCATTCCCAGGGTTCCCAAAACTTACAGACATGTACTCCTGCCCCGTGGGCCTGCCCCAAAAGCCCAAGAACTGGCCGCCCACCCAATGGCAGGATTTGAGGGCCAGCAGACCCAAGTGACCAGAACCGGTGCTGGACAAGTATGCTCCAGGACAGCCCCGGCACCAAGCCCTGGCCAGGCAAGAGGGCAGTGGGCCCTGGAGAAAGCATGCAGGCCGGTCACCTGTGCTCAGGATGCTGCAGAAGCCACAGGTCTCCACCCCTCCTCCTCCTGAGCCAGCAGGACAGAGAGAGAAGTGTGGCCCCCAATCCCAGGGGCCCCACAGCAGCAGAGTCCTGAAGACCCAGGGACCAAGGGACACTGCTCAGCACTGGCCCCTGCTCACGGCAACGCACAGAAGACAACTGGCACCCTCCTGCCTGGACACCGGACAGGCCCTGACGGGTGTGCCAGGCTGGCTGAGCACCACCTTCTCACTGGGACCCACACCCGCAGCACAGCCCAAACTGACCAGCAGACACACACCCACCACAGCTGCCAGCTTCTTCCGGCTCCTCCCCACCCTCTATTACACCCCAACATCTCTTCCCACCATCACAGAGCTAAGCTGAAGGCCCTCCTCTGCCAGGGAAGGCAGCTTCGCCACCTCCTCAGGGCCTCAGTCAGCTCCTGCAGACTGTTCTCTGCTTCCTCCTGCATCCCAGGGCCAGGCGACCCCAGCCACCAGGGCGCACGCACCTGCAACCACCACTTGCCAGCCCAGGGCTTGTACACACCCCAGGACCAGGGAGGAGAGGCTGACTGCGTCCTGTCCCCTCCAGCAGCCACCTGCCGCTGGTTCATGAACAGCTGATGCCTCTCCACTTCCAAGTCCCACTTCCCTCTTCCTCTCTCTGGTCTCCTTCAGAAGATGTCAGAAAAGCCCATTCCTTCCTCCCAGGCTGCCACCCCTCCTCTCCCACAAAGACTGCTTCAAGGCCAAAAGAGCTGAGGCTGGAGGTGCCTCTGCAGCCCAAACCCCCCACTGGCGAGTGGCAGGGACCCCAGGCCCTGCACCCCAGGGAGACCACCCAACTGCATACTCGGCAGCTCTGCCTCAAGCTACTCAGATGACCAAAGCCCTCCTCTGACACAGCACTGAGCAGAGAGCTGTCCCCTTTTCCCTGTCAGTGCTACCTGTGGCCTAATAGAGCACACTGGGTCTCCTGATGTCTCCTAGTGTGCTGGCTTCAGCCATTGCTCCAAGTCACCAGTGTCACCACAGGGAGTCTCAGGGGAATGGAGGGGACATAGGCAAGTAACATGGGGATTCCAGCGTCCTTCCACTATGCCTGGGGGGGATCACTTAGCCCTACCCACTGCCACTTCCTCCTGACAGCCCTGGGCTTTTCTGAGCTCTGGATTTTCTTTTACCAGACCCTTAAGTAGTGCTTTCTTAGGAAGAGTGTGATGAAGCTCCTTTCTCCTGAAGAAACAGGCTTCCTGGACTATCCAGAAGTCAGGCAAGGCAGGGGATGTTTCCTAGATCCCTCATCAATTTCATCAAGCAGTTTTCGGCAAGCTGAGCATGCCAGGCCTTTGACACTTGGAAGTGGTCAATGTGCACCCCACTGGGGGAGATGATAAGTCCAGAGAGAGAGGTTCACAGTCACCCATGCTATCTGAAAGCCAAACATGTGAACATGTGGACTGGAGAAAGAATTACATCTGCATCATCCATCAAATTCAGAGAGCATGCCCTGTAGGCTGAGTTTCTGAATGATGCAGGGAGGGTAAGGTGGGGCGGGCAGGAGCTCTGCCACAGGCTTTGTCTCTTGCTGGTGTCGGTTTTGAATGCATCGGTTCAATGAGAAACACTTCAGTCCTATGCAACTGTGAAGGAATCTGGGAAAGAGAAACACCAGCCCCCAAATCCTGGAAATCCTGGCCTATGGCCCAGAAGACCTGCTAATCCCCACAACCTAGAAAACCAAATGGCTGGGTCCTTCCTTTCAGCAGCCACAGAGAGGGCACACATCAGATGACTCTTCCAGGCCCCTTTGGAGCCCCACATTGACCTCAGGAAGTCCAGAGCCATCTTGTACTGCCCCACAGGTTGCGCACTGCACAACACCAAAAAGTGCCATTCCCAAAGACTGTGGTATAAACAGTGCCCATAAGTTGTGCAATTAGAGGTACCAGGGACACCACTCCTTGGGTGGCCACCCACCACCCACTAGGGCTCCAGGACTTAAAAAAGATATCCAAAGCAGAAACAAGTTATGTTCATTTTAAAAGAATAGACTAAATAATTTCTGAAATGATTCCCTTTAGGCTGATATGGATCTCCAGCTTCGGCAGAGGGAGGACAGAAAGGAAACGCGGTCCTTCAGCTAATTTCTTGGAAGAGCTACTCTGCATATTTTTATACTTTTCACATCTATCAGACTTTGGCTTGTAAAGTCCCAAGACTTTCAACATCCCCTTCTGTTTTTCATGAGCTGACCCTGAAGGCAGTTCCCAGCCCATGTTTAGCTCTACGAGCATCATGCCCACGAGGGGGCAGGAGACTCAAGGGCACACAATGCCTGGCCAGAAGTGTCTCAGGCTTCAGGCACAGGTGCTAGAAAGTCAGCACGCAATTCACTCTTGAAGTCATCTGTGACAGGCTTTCTATTTAAGGAAGCACAATCCATCTTTAATTATCAGATCCCCCAGGACTTGAGACGCCATGGCAGGTGACACTGAAAAGGGAGAGACTGTCGGATTAGCTCCTGGCTTTTCTGTTCCGGCCCTACAGGCAGCCTCTCAAGGAGTCCCTAAGACCAGCATTGCACTCCTCCACCCTCTGCATCACCCCCCCCCATCCAAAGCCTTAGTTGGAGCTGCAGAAGCCACACGACGGCCCCACCAACTGTGCAGCAAGCCAGCCCTACACTGGTCTTCCAAGCACTTGTTTTCTATAGACAGAAAACAGGGAAGAGGCACAGTGGACCTGGGCTCGTGCTGAAGGATGCTGGAAACATGGGCCTGGGCATCCCAGGAGAAGCCTAGGAACCACTCCCGGAAGAGGGGAGAGGTACCCAGGAAACCGAGAAGAGTTGGGCACAGGTAACCAAGTCCCACTGAGCCAAACAACAGTCCCCACCTGCTATGATCCGAATGATTGTGTCCTCCCAAAATTCACATGTTGAAACCTAATCCCCAATGTGAGAATATTAGGAGTTGGGGTCTTTGGGAGCTGATTAGGTCATGAGGGTAAAGCCCTCATGAATGAGATCAGTTCCCTTATAGAAGAGGCCCAAGAGAACTCATTCACCCCTTCCGCTCTACGAGGACGCATCAAAAACATGGTCATCTACAAACCAGGAATGGGCCCTTCGCCCAGACTCTGAATCAGCTGATGCCTTGATCTTGGACTTCCCAGCCTCCAGAACTGTGAGAAATAAATTTCTGTTGTTTATAAGCACTGCATTTATGGTATTTTGTTACAGCATCCTAAATGGACTAAAACACTACCACTTCTGATTCTGAGCAAGGTGGCCAGAGAGGAGGATCACAGGAGCTGGTAAAGAGCCAAACATAATGGCATGAAACCCAGAAAGTCAAACCCTGGGTAAAGATCGTGCACGTCTACCTCCTACTCAAATGCTGGCTCCCTGAATCCTAGCCCAGCCCCAGAAAGCCTACTTGATAATGGATTAATCTTCTATGACCCCTCCCTTCTTCCCATAGCACACACACCCTAAGTCCAGACCCAGCATGGTTTAGGACTGTTAATAATCAAGGACTCCCATCTGGACTTCTAAACCCAGGCAGTCCCCTGAGCTCAGTGGGAGCAGACCATGGAAAACCACCTGGTCCCTCTGGGAAGCCCTAATCCACAGTCAAGACCTTTAGGGATGATCTGAATCAGACAAACCTCAAGCAATACGGGGAAGGAGCAGCTATACCTGTCACTAGGTGACTATCATCCCTGAGCATGCCTTAGTACCCGGCCCGGCCAAGAGACCACATGGAGATGACAACCTGTGCCTTTCAGTGAGCATTTTAGGCAACATGCCTGGGAGTCTGTCACCTATGCCGGGGGACATCACACATGCATGCACATACACCCAGACACCCTACCCCCCGCCCCACCAGGCGCACACAGCTATGACTCATACCCTCTGAGTGGCGTGATTCAGCATCTCCTGCCAGGCGGAGTCGAACTGCCGTTTGTCATCCTCGAGCAGCCGCTGCTCAGCCAAGGAGATGGTCTCCTTGGCTGCACGGAGCACCTCCGTGGCCCTCTGGAAGTCCTGCGTGGCCTTCTGAGCTTCCAGCTGAGCCTGTGCGAGAAAGATACCTTGTGAGGCCTCAGAAAATGGCAGGGGCTCCCCATGGCCCATTATACCTTTCAAAAGATGTGTGTTCTGAGGTCAGGATACTCCCTATCCATCTCTGCCCTTGTGAATGCTGGATGGGGCAACGGGTCCCTGACAGGAAAGTGGGTACCAGATCAGTGAATGGACAATTTTCACCATCTTGGACCCAGCAGATAAACACAGCAGCCCTAGTCAGAATCAGAGATGGTGAGCCGGCCCCTCACGTGACAGGTACTGACAACATGGCCTTTCTCCAAAGCTCTGGCTCACTAATGAGGCCAAGGTGGATAAAGCGGTCCTAACACATTCCCTGCCCAGATCCGTGGCTCAATTCATGGCACATCGGAATAAGAAAGGCCCCTGGAGATCATGTTCCAATGGCTCTTTCTGTAGATGGGGACCGTGGCTGAAAGGGAACAGGCTTCCCCAAGATCACAAAGCTGGTTAGGAGCAGAGATGTGACCAGACTCCAGACAGTGGGAGGCCCCACCCAGTGTCGTCACTCTGCCAGACAGTCCCCCACTCAATTCACTCTCCAACACCAGTGACGGGCCAAGTATGGCACCAGGCAGGCAAAGGGAGGGACCTAATTGTAACAACATGTCCCTGCTCTCAGGGAGCATCAAGCGGGAGAATCAACACAAATTGTAGCTGACCTCATGTCTAGAACTGCCACCAGCCACATGTGGATCTTGAGTGTTTAAAATGTTAATCCAAACGGAGTACAAAACACCACTAATTTAGTACCAAAAAAAAAAAAAAGTTAAACCTCTCATTAATAATTTGTATTATTTTGATTACACACTGAAATGATAATATTTTAGATACACTTGATTAAATAAAATATATTATTAGAATTAATTTCCTTTTACTTTTTTACTATGACTACAAGGAAATGAGAAATTACACAGGTGACTCACATTCTAGTTCTTTTGCACAGTAGACACCCCTCCCCCAAGAGTGGGCCATGTGACTGCAATTTTGTGACTTCATGAGAAATGAGCAACAAAACATTTCAGTCACCATCCTCTGCAGGCTTCCCACCAGAGCATGAGAAAGCCACTGCCACATGCTGGCCCGCTGCAGCATCCCACCCGCCCACCCCTGGTTAACCAGATCCCTAGGTCAGTTACATAAGCCCTGCTGGGACACCCATGCAGCAGCCCCTGGGACGCAGGAGGAAAGGGGAACAACAGGGGACCCACCCTTCCCCAGAGTGACCCTCACATGACTTAGAGAAAGTTTTCAGAAACTGTGGGCTGAGGACACTTTGTGAAGAAGGGTAAGGGGAGGGGGAGAGAAATCAGAGGTTTGGAGCACACCAGTCCCCAGGGCAAGAACAGGTTTGTGGCCCCACGGTTGCCATCCCCACCGTTCAGTGAATGTGCACTCCAGGCTGCAATGCTCTCATCAGGAACCTGAAATGGTCATGGAAGGGACACTCAAAGTCCGTAATGTGAAATTGTACATGAGGGTGCCCCAGGAGGGAGGGAAATATATACATAGTAAGGGAATTTGAAGGAGAAATTACTTCCAGTAGAGGGAACCAAGGAAGGCTTCTTAAAGGAGGCTGATCCTGCAGGACAGGGATGACTTGAAGATGCAGGCTTGCTGGGGGACTAGGAGGAAACATCCGAGACTCTGAAGACATTGTTAAATTAAGTTTGGCCTAAGGTTCCTCTGGACACAGTGAACTGTAACCTATCTTGATGTACAAAAAAACTGTAACCTACTCTTGTAGCAAGTAGCCAAGTCTCTGCCAATCACAGGCGGCCAGCTATTTAAATCGTGTTCAAATAAGGCAAATGCCCAGTTGTAACCAATCCAGCTGTTTCTGTACCTTACTCCTGTTTTCTGCTTTCAGTACTTTCCTTTTTCTGTCGATAAATGTCACCCAACCACGCAGCAGCCCTGGACTTGCTCTGAACCTATTCTGGCTCTGGGGGCTGCCCAATTCACAAACCATTCTTTGCTCAATTAAACTGTTAAATTTAATTTGTCTAAAGTTTTTCTTTTAAGGACATATTATGAAACATAGTATCTGTAGGATATCTGACAAAGCCTGGGATCAAATTTTTAAAAAGGAATCAAGAGTGGAGGCCTTGAATGAATGCCAGGCTAAAGCTTCCACCAAAGTGGCCCAGGGACCTGCCTGCTGCAGACCCACTGTGTGGCACTGGACCCGGTCACCCACGCTCACTCAGGTGTGCCTCAGCTACACAACGGGGACAAGGATGCCCTCCCTCCCTCTCTAGAACTGACGAACCCACCAAGAAGTAATGAGACAGCACTAGGTACTCTAAGCGACAGAACTCACCCTTCCCAACCCGTGCCTCCAGCTCGAGGACAGTCCTCCAGGAGCCTCCATCTGCCCAGCCAGGCTGCAGGGAAAGGGTGGAAGCACCGGGACAGGTTAACTTTAAAAGCTAGGGGGCTGGCCAGTTAGCTCAGTTGGTTAGAGCACAGCTTTAGAACACCAAGGTCACAGGTTTGGGTCTCCATACTGGCGGGCTGCCAAAAAAAAAAAAAGCTGCCCCATCCTCTACCCATAGACTACTTACAGGCCTCAAACCACCTCCAGGAGACAATAATTAAGCCCACAGGATCCTAACATTTTTCTACAATGGAACTTGTATTTATCCATTTTTGGTTTTTAGGAAATCTTAGTATTTCAATTCATCAACATTTAAGGGTAAACTCTCTTCTTCCCCCAGGTCTCCCTGCTTAAATTATGAAACTTTTCTTTCTTCAGGTAAGAAGAGATGCTCTTGGGGTGGGGAGGGGGGGGTGCCTTCTGAAATGCAGCTGCCGAACCACAGGCCTGGCACCGATTCACACCCCCCACCAGCATCTCACGAGTTTCCATATAAGGGAATCAGCTTTGAGGTGGCCTTTCAGAAGAACATGCTCTCTAATTCCTGGCTAGTTTTGGAAGTTTCCACAAGATTCCTTGTTTCCTGTATGATGGCATCAGAAACATGATGCCTTGTCAGATCACAGGTCCAACTAATGTGAGGGTTCAGTCTACACTTTACCCACTAAAACTACATGGCATCTCTCCATCACTCATCCACTTACTCGTGCATTCATTCAAGTAAGTGTTGGGCATCTGTCCTGCACACACTGTCATCTTTCATGGTAATAAAGCCTTTATGTCTCAGGGTGAGGCAATGTGCCAGCTAACAGTGCCCCTGTTACTAAGTTCCAGCTAATGAGAGGCAAAGGGACACTGAGTGACACTTCTAGGAGGGCTCCTGTTATGGTCTTGATGTTTGTGCACTCCCCAAAATTTACATAGCAAAGCCCTCTCCGCAGTGTAATTGCATTAGGAGGTAGGACCCTTGATAAGTAATTAGTTTAGATTAGCTCGTGAGGGGATTAGTGCCCTTCTAAGAAGAGAAAGATTGTGATCTCCCCTTCCTTCCACCAAGGAAAGGTTATTTGAGCACACAGGAAGAAGGCAAGCCGTCTGCAAGCCAGGAAGACAGTCCTCCCCTGACAGGGAATCTGGAGTTCCAGCCTCCAGAACTGTGAGAAATAACCTCTGTTGTTTAAGCCACCCAGCCCGTGGCACTTTGCTATAGCAGTCTGAGTAACTAAAACAGATATTGGTACCAAGAAGTGGACGGCTGCTGTAACAAATACCTAAAAACGTGGAAGCAGCTTTGGAACTGGGTAAAGGGTAGAGGCTAGAAGTTTTGAAGTACATGCTAGAGATCACGTTTTATAAAACATTTTCTAAAACTACATACACAAGGAAAGTACCAGGCAGGAACACCCAGAGGAGGGGCTTCCTATCGCACCCTCGCCAGCGGGATAAAGTCTATTCAACACGTGCTAAGTTCCTCCTGAAGGCTAAGCTGTGGAGGGGAGAGGGTCCACATATAAACAAGGGGGCTCCGATTCAGTCAGGAAGACAGACACGTTCATTATGAACTCTAACACAAGACGGACCGTGACAAGTGTCAGAGGCGTAAAGTACTATGGGAATGTTGGGAAGGGAGAGAGTAATTTGTCTCCTATGGAAGATTTCTAAAAGGAGGCAGGTGTCAAGCTGCAGGCTGGGCCATGGAAATACAGGAGTCACCAAAGAGTTTATACACATACTGAACTGAGGAGAGTTTAACTCCAACGTTGTTTCCCAGTGTCATCACAGCACACATGACCTTCAAAGTCAGAAGCCAATTAAGCAATCCCAGAGAGGGCCGGCTGTCTGGTTCTCACCATCGTATGAAACATGATGCCTAGAAATCTTTGGCACGACCAATACAGTTTCACCTTCAGACCCTAACAAAGGACCTAGGCCCTGGTACTAACACATTATTTGGTTTTTTGTTCTGCTTTTTTGGCAGCTGGCTGGTACAGGGATTGGAACCCTTGATCTTGGTATTATCTGCTTTAACCAAGTGGGCTACCAGCCAGCCCAGAACATTTCGTGAATTAGCGAGGGCCTTACGCCCACAGGTCCCGTGGAGTGCACATGTCACACAGGGGTTCCCTCACAGCCAAGAAGCCAGTGAGCAAGCTGAAAAGGTGAGGGCCTGCTTATAATAGCACCAGAGAGGAAAACATCAGCAGAGCTTGGTCCTGTAATATGCAAAGGAAAAACTGTTAAATATCTTTATGACTCATGAATACTAACAACTTCCATAGAGAGAATTTTAAGAGGCTGCTCATGAATGAATTTGATAAGTGACATTCATTGGACACTGGCCCAGGCCAGCTGTAGCTGTGAAGCTTTCAGTATTGTGTGGGTGTTCCACAAAGTGTCATCAGCAAAGCAGGGTGGGCAGCAGAAATGTCTGCCATTGTCCAGGCTGCCTGGAGAAGGGGAGGCTCCAGCCGTGTCCCTCTGACTCAAAGTCCACCCACCACAGCCTATGATCCTTCTCACAAAGGAACTGGACAAAGTTTCAGGGCAGAAGAAAGTTTACAGACTACCCAGGTTCAAGCCCCTCATTCTT